CTCTGGTATTTGCTCTGCTATCTGCAGCAAAGCCCAAACACAGTTGACCCCATTTCCTCTCTGGCAGAGGAGGAGACTTGCAGGATCTCTTAATCCCAGCTGCCCTCTCTCCCTGGCAGGTCTGGAGCGAAACCCAGCCCGTGTGGGGGCTCTGAGCAGCTGATATGTCACACTGGGTGCCGAGGAGGCGCTTGAGAAATGCCGGCCAGTTCCGGCCTCTGGGGAGTGCAGAGGATGGCTAAGGACTGCCACTCAGGAGCCCGCAGCGGTTCCCAGAGACTGCTCACCGCACTCCCCCTGCCTCCAGAAGCTTCCAGACTGGTTTCCTTAACAGCACTTACTCCTCCCCAGTCTACCCCAGCACTACCCACTGGGTGATCCTACCACAATCCCACTTTCATGCTACTTCTGCCCAAAAGCTCTCCGTAGCTGTCTCTTACCTCTGACAACACAACCAGCATCTCTACTCAGTTTCCAAAGACTTCCACAATCTGGCCTGTAACTTCCAACTTCCTTTCCGACTTTCCCCATCTCGTCTTACCTCTCAGCCTCTTTCTCTCCGTCCTCCCTCCACTCCATTCTCATTTTTGGCTTTTATTGTGACTTCCAGGGAACATCCCTCCCACTGGATCTAACAGGCCCCACGTCAGATCCCTGTCCCACCACCTACCAACTATGTGACCTTAGGCGAGTAACGAGACCTCTCTGAGCCTCGGTTTCCTGGTATGTAAAGTGGGGTTCATGCAGGCCCCGCTGGAATCAGTTTCAGTGAAGATTAACTGAGAGAAGATGTGCAAAAGCCCCAGCCCTCAGCGGTGTACCTGATGCTTGGGGATCACACAGCGTTATAGGTGTGAGCCTGCCCCTCCAGGAGGACAGTTAGTTCCGCCCCTCCCCACCCCTGCTGACTCACGCAGCCAAGTCCAGCCGTACTCAGTGCACAAATCCAACTTAACCCCGACACGCAGTGAGCTGCACCTTGCTTATGCTTTTGCTCAGCTAAGCTTCGTTATTGAACTGAAAGCTGCAGTCCTTATTAGGGTCCCCAGCACATTCCATTTCTACCCACTAAGCCCAAAGGGTAAATGATACTGATAGTGTATTTTATCCTCGGGACTTACTATTCATTGCTATAGTAACTTTTTAACAAGATAGCCACCTCTGGAAGAGAGATCGGCCGCCACTAACCGAAGACCAAAGCAAGACTGCCGGGAGCGAACAAACTCCCAATACGCTTGTGTCGTCCCCCGGGTGAGCTGCTGGACCAGGTGACAAACTGGGTAGAAAGAGCTCAGGCACAAGCCACCTAGCACTGCCCATGACATAGGACAGGCCCGCAGGCATCAGGACCCAGCTGCGGCATCTGGCCCACACACCTGCAGAAGGACCTCAGAGCAGGCACAGAGTCTGGGGGCAGGTGAGGCCGCTTTCCAGACTGAGACGGAGAACCACCTAGGGCCTCTTCAGGGCAGGGCCAGCCTGGGCCAAGAGCAGGGCCTGTCCTCAATTCTGGATGTCTTTCCCCAGCCTAGGCTGACATGTCACCACCCATCCCTTCTGTTCCTGGGTCTGGGGGCCAGAGCAGGGTGTGGCTCTGCTGACTGAGACCCGGGGAGGGAAGCACTGTGCCAGTTGACTGATGCAGACTCCAATCCCTGAGGCTCTGGGAAGCCAGGACAACAGAGGGAGGAAGGGGAGGATCTGCCTCCAGGGGGCCACAGCGGCAGACTAACACCCAGAACACTGTGCTACCCAGCCGTCCCAGCGTCCCAGCGTCCAAAGGGACAGTGCAGGCAGTACCAGCAGGAGCCAGAATCGGGAAGCAGGTTCGTGCCAGGCCAGATGCCTCCCTGTTCCCTGCCTCCACAGCTCCCTGGAGGCACATGAGGGCTTTCAGGACAGAAAACAAAGGCAGCCAGGGAACAGGACAGGCACAGATTTAAGCTCCTGAAGGGAGTGAAGAGGGGAAATGTGGCCCCACTCCCCAAACTCCAAGAGCTGGAAAGGGTCCCAAGAGGCCAGCCTCAGAAAGAAAGGGGCAGAAGGAAGGCTGGGCTGGGAGCAGACTCAGGGTCAGGAAGGACTGGACCTATCCCAGCAGGTCTGAGAAGAATGTGGGAAGGTCTGAGCACGACTTCAGCCTAGGCATGGTGGGGCTCTCAGATCATGCCATACAGCGCCCACGGCCAGGGAGAAGTACGGTGGCTCAGGAACGAGGAGATCGCAGCCTGCCCTCCCTCTGATGGTGGCCGCCTGTGACTCAGCACACAGTGTGACTCAGCACACAGTGCAAATGCCTTCACAGGTCCTGCACCACCAGGCACTGTCTCGCTGCTCCCCTGGGGCCTGCACAGGGCACATGGCCCAGGCTCTGCATCCACTCGAACGCTCGTCCTCCCTTCGCAGGGCCATGCTGCCGTCTGCACGTTTGCAGGGGCTTGTACTCGCTACCCCTAGCACAGTGTGCTCCCTCGCCAGGCCCACGCCTACCCTGAGTCCCCAGCCCTCTTCTCATTCCTCAAGTCTCAGGCAAAAAGTCTCTTCCAGACCTTGAGTCTGGGCAGGCTTCTCCACCCACAGTATCATGTCTTTTTACTGTCATTGCCTGACTTCTAGGGGGTCCATAGAGCGAGAACCTTATCCAATGCCTTCCTGTTCTAGGCCTCAGGCCCTAGGCCCACATCTGGCCTGCAGTGAGAGAAAAGAAAAAAGATAAGAAAATCTGGTCAACTCTAGAAATGTCCAATATCTGAAGACAAATAGGAGTTCTAGAATGAAAAAAAAAAACTATCAAAGAAACAGTATTAAAATTTTTGCCTGGGAACCAGCAGTTAGCATAATGGCTATGTTGCTGGACTCCCACGTAGTCGACCGCGGTTCGCGTCCTGGACCCGGTGGCTTAAAACTCACGCCAGGCACGTGTGCGTGCGTGCCCAAGTTCCCGAGAGGAGAATGGAGGAGAAGGGATTGCGGCGTGACCGTCCCCCCGGGGGGTGATTTCTCGCTTTCTGTCTCTATGTCTCTCTCTGTCTGTCTGGCGAGCGCACGCGCCCTATAGCGAAAACCTCTCCAAAAAAAAGAAAAAAAAAATTTTACCTAGGGGCCAGCAGATGGCATAGCAGGTTATGTTCCTCCCTGGACTCTCACATGGCCAACCATGATTCAAGTCCTGGACCTGGTAGCTTCAAATCATGCCAGGCATGTGTGTACATGCCCAAAATCCCAAGAGGAAAATAGAAGAGAAGGGATTGCAGCATGGGCCTCCCCCCAGAGGGTGATTTTTCATTTTCCCTCTCACTGTCTCTGTCTCTCTCTCTCTCTCTCTCTGGCAAGAGGATGCACCCTAAAGCAAAAACCTCTTTTAAAAATTTTATTTTTTGCTAAACCTCAAAGACAGGAGTCTTCGCTTCAAAAGAAGTCACCAAGCATTCAAAATAATAAGTTTTAAAAAGGATACCATGATAGAATTTCAGAAATAAGTTTCATGGGTAAAGAGAAGACCCTAAACATTTTCAAAGAAAGAAAACAGGCCATTTGCAAAGAATCAGATATGAAATGGCATCTATTTTGGAAGTCAGAAGAAAATAGAGCAATGATCTTTAAAATTCTGAAGAAAATGATTGTCAATCTAGAATTTTTTCCTCAGCCAAACTTCAACTAAGGTTGAGTGCAGAATTACAATTTTTCAGCATAAAAGAACTCGTACTCTCTTATCATTTACCATGTTCAGGAAGCTCCTGAAAGAAGTGTTCCACAACAACTATGATATACAGCAAGAAAAAGAGAAACCTAGAGCTGGAGGGAGGTGGGCTCCAGAAAGGGAAATTTTGGGGGCGAGGGGAAGAGGACTCAAACACAGCAATTTTCAGATGGAAAGGAACTGGAAATATTAAAAGGTTACAGGGTGATGTTGTAAGAGTTAGAAATAACACAAAAGAAACAATGTCAATAGAAAAAACTGAGGCAACTATTAACTTCAGATAAAATAAAAAGTTAAAAAAGAAAAGAAACATAATCATATTACAACCAATTTAAACATGCAGTCAATGTCATTTATATAACTGTAATAACATGAATACTAAATACTAAATATTTATAGACACCCCTCCGAAGCTGTGATAACTATTTTCGAAGGGGCGTGAGCATGAGGAAGAAAAGTGAACTTGAATTCTCAACTATCATAACAGACAATGTAAAAGAACTAATTGAGAAATAGCAGTCTAGATGATCATATTAGTTTGAAATATGGACTTCTCTCTGAAGAACAGCTAAAAGTTGCCTTTTGTGAGAAGGAATCAGAATTGGGGAGGGAAGGACAGATAGTACTATTTGACTTTTGAACTGTGCATACATATGACTTCGAAAAAAATATATAAAAACTATTTGTCCTATATGACATCTCCCAACCCCTCCCCCAAACCAAATGCAACCATCAGCATTTCAGTAAGCACTGAAATTCAAGCTCCTATATATTTTTTAAAAACAAAATTACAGTATCCTGGCCTAATACTCACCATTCTTTCTGCTAATTCTTCTCACTCTCAAACTGAATTTTTGGGCAGCAATATGCTGATCAATGTTTAATAATTGATATTCTGGGGAAAAAAATCCAGATTCATAGTATCTGCCAATTTTTATGGTGTAAATACTCCCACCATGGCAGACTTCAAGCTTTCACTGTAATGCCGTTGAAGGCAGAACTGGAAGAGATGCACATAATCACCCTTACAAGCCAGTGCAAGCCAGATTCAGCAAACCACTGCCTTTGGAATTCTCTAGCCTTATCAACCTCCATGGTTTCCACCAGACCTAGCATATGCGAGAGATTTGAGCATCTCTTCCAAAGAGCCAGAAGTCTACAGGGGGGTGCAATAGCATTAGAAGTAAGTACTAAAGAAAAGGGAAGTGGCTCTGGCTGCACGGAAGTGGTAGTGAATTTGCCACCTTCCATCTCCTCCCTATTCCTTCCCCGGCCAAACTCCCACCTTCAACAAAGTTACCTGTTCATTGGTGACCCCTGGGCGCAGGGTCCCATGCTTGTAGTCCTCTAGCAGCTGCACAGCCTCTCTGAGACGTCTCTGTAGAGGAAAGAAAAGAGACATTGAGAAGCACAGATCGAGGGCTCCTGCAAATCTTTCCCTGTGGGAATTCATCAGTATCAATTGAATGTTGATAGTGTGCAATGTCTCAACCTGCCCTCAGTTCACGGGACATGAACAACAATAAAGACGGATCCTCCTAATTGTCTTTCCATGAGGAAATGGCTAAATGATGGTGACACAGCACATGGTGAAATGTTATCCGGCAGAGGAAAGTGAAGTAGAGCTATATGTGATTCCCTGGCCTTATCTTCAAGACATGTTGTTGAGTGAGAAAGCAAATTGCCAAGCAATATGATACTTCTGGGTTGTACCAAACAAACAAAACCCACACAAGTGTGCATAAAACAACATTTCCTATGAGGATATTTAGGCGTGTAAATGCATTTCTCCTACAAGGAACCCACCAGACTGGGGATGGGGTTACCTCAGTACAGGAGAAAAGGCTCAGACTTGGCAAGGGGTATCAGAAAAAGCCTTTAATCTTGATTGTAATATTGTAGGCTTTACAAGAGAACATATTTATGTAATACTTATATAATTTCTTCTCAACATTTTCAAAAACACTGGCAGAAATTTACCTACTAAAGTACATATGGTTACAGTAACTGAGGGGAGAGAGAGAAAAAAGGAATTATACGATTTTTATAAAATGTAAAAGGTAAAGGGTCAGTAACCGCAATAGAAGGTAGCCTTTGCCCACCAAAAGACTTTCATAAGAATGTTCTTAGGAGTACTATTCATACAGCCCCAAATTGCAAGTAACTCAACGGTAGAATGGATAAATTGTAGTATATGCACACAATGAAATATTATACAGCAGTTAAAAAGTTAACTATGAATACAAAGTGAATGAATCTTAGACATATGTGGCAGGATGTATTTTCCAAAGATTGCAAATATCTCCATCTCCTGCCCTTCTAGAAGCTTTCAATATCCCCACCTAGAGGTAAAATATATGTCCCTTCCCCTCGATTCTGGACAGAACTTTATCACAAATAGAGAATGGCAGAAGTAAGGTGATGTGACTTTTGAGGCTTAATTATAAAAATGCCATGCACGGTAGCCTCTTCTCAGGATGTCACTCTTACAACCCAGCCATCAGGCTCTCAGGATGCCAAGGTAGCTTAGGAAAGACCCAAGTGCATAGAAGAGGAGGCCCTGGCCCTCAGCATCAGCTGAGCCACCAGCTGACAGGTAGCACCATCTTGCCCACTTTAGAATTGAGTCATCTTGAAATAGACCTTCCAGCCACCCCACACTCTGCGCTCCCATCAAGCCACCCTAGCTGAAGCCACATGAGCAGAGATGAACCATCCCCTCTAAGACCTACCCAAAGTGAAGATCAGTAAGCAAAATAATTGACTGTCATGGTTCTAAGCCACTAAGTTTGGGGGTGATTTGTTACACAGCAATAGAAAGCTGATATACACAATGATAATGGAAAGAAGATGGGCACAAAAGGATATATCTAAAGTCCAAAATAGACAAGGCTAGACGTGGTGGCAGAGGTCAGTACAGAAATAACATCACCTGACTATGTCCCTGACATGGATGTGGGCACCGACTAGGAGAAAGCATGAGGGAGCCCTCTGAGGCAAAGGAAATGCCCCATGTCTTGATCTGAGTGGTGGTTCTATGGGTGGAGACAGATGTAAAATTTCATTAAGACACACACCCAAGAGTTGTGCATTTTACCAATGTGTGTTATACCTCAAAAAACACAATCATGACCAGTAGATGGCACAATGGTTATGTCCCTGGACTCGCACATAGTTGACCACAGTTTGAGTCCTGGACCCAGTGACTTAGAACTCACACCAGGCATAAAATCCTAAGAGGAGAATGGAGGACAAGGGATGGCAGTGTGGTCACAATCCCGCTTTCTGTCTTTCTGTCTCCCCAGCAAGTGCATGTGTCCTAGAGCAAGAATCTCTCTTTAAAAAGAAACATTTCTCATAAATGGACAATAGTGAGAGAAGGCAGATTATGCCAAGATCCAAAAGAGAAGTTCAGGCATCAGGGATGCCCAATGTGAGAGAAGAAACCCAGAAAAGTCACCCTGTTCCCCTTCTGACAGAGGCTGGTGAGGAATGGAGTGTAGAGACCTTGGTCTGAACAAAGAATGCAGCACTAGGAAGACCCTGAGGGGAGGGGGGGGGGGAGAGAACCGGGGGGGGGGGGGGGGGGGGCTGACAGGGCAGGGAGTGTACAGCACCTCCTGCCGGCTTGCCACAGGAATAACCACCAACCCAGACACACCAGCCAGGCCACCGGGGCGCATGGGGCCTGTGTGTCAATTACCTGCGGCCAGCACTGGTGTTGCCCAGCCTTGGCTGGCAGAACCTTAGGCAATTAGAGGTCCAGGACAACTTCTCTGACTAAGGAATGGCATGAAGGTTGAAAAGTTCTGTCTCTCCCCATTCAAATGTATGGATGTCAATTCCTGGATTCTGAAGCGCTTCTTCCTAGAATCTGTTCATTTCCAAGGTGGAGACAGCTTTGTGCTTGTTTTGTTTTTGTTTTTGTTTTTCCCCCCAAATATACAAGCAATCTATGCTGCCGAAAGAAAACGTCAGAAAAATAAGAAGCACACACACACACACACACACACACACACTTTAAGTCACCTGTAAACGGACTGCAGAGGTCATCAGTGTAAAAGTGGAGATGACTTTCCTTCCAGACTTAATACATTGGTTTTCAACAAAGTTGCATCACGTTATTTATTTTAATTGGAGCTCACACAAATATACGTGCGTGACTTAGTGTTTGAACTGAGTCCAGTCAGATCCTTGCACACGCACACACACCCGTACCCCTACACCCTCAAAACTCCTAGAGATGCAGAAGCTCCCCGCTCCTTAAGCCTGCTTCCTCCCACCGTGTGGGCCTCTGCAGTCCCAGACAATGACTGCTCCACTTTCCAACGCTGAATGGTGAATGGCCCCGTGTTCTCATTATTTCTCCCACTCCAGGGATTCGCCTGAGTTCCTATAACAACCTGGCCCGTTTCCATCTCATTTGACACGGTCATCAAAGGGAGCCCTCCTGCCAAAGGAATAAGTTTCAGAGAGCCTTGATCTTGGCAAAGGCCTTAGAGGGAGAATAAATCCAAAGTTCCTGAAGACAGGTCTGAGGACCCACAAGCTAGACGGTGTTTGTCTGCCTCTGGGCACTGTAGGCTATTCTCAGGCCCTAATAAGGCTGAGGGGTGGGGGATTCTCCCTGGAGGACAGGCAGGACCCTAGACCACCTGTCTTGAGAGGTCTCTGAGGTCTGGCTGTTTTGGGAGCTGATGTCCCTACAGCAGGGAAAGGGGCCGTTTCACTGAGATTTGGACAACAGAGGAGGGTCTCCTTGCTTTGAATCTTCCTCTCAGGCCGCTGTATTAAGAGTCTTGGCAGAAGCACTGGGCACTTGAGGATGGGGAAAGCTGGAAGGTCAGGGCAGGGTGAACCTGGCAGGAAGTCTTTTCATCTAGGAATAAGCAGGCAGCAAATCCCTGAATGCAAAGGCTCTGAGGGGTCCTGGGCCAGGAGGATGGACAGCCCAAACTGCGGCTTCCCAAACTCCACCTCCGTCACCAGCCCGCCTGCCAGAGGGTTTCCTGAGAGTCTCTTCTTGACAGAGGCCTGGTCTCCAGAAGGTTCCTCTGGAACTGCATGTGCCTGAGAGCTCTGCTCCAGCAGCAGAGGATTTGAACAGGGGCAAGTCCTGGCGTCAGGCAGAAAGGAAAGGGCAGTCAAGGCTAGGAGCTTAGAAGGTGCCCAGAGAGGGCAGAAGGCCATGAAGTTGGGAAATGGGGGTGAAGGGACACCAGAAAGAAAGGGCTCGAAAAGGAAAGCTGGTCAGGAGTGAAGCGTGGGGAGACTGGGCCCCACTCACGTAGGACGTGAAGAATACTCCTCCGCATGTGTGTATCACAGAACCAGCTCCACCCTCCACCCTCTGAGAACACTGAGGCCGAGAGGGACGGGCACTTCCTTGCTCAAAGTCTTAAGGTACGTGGGTGTCACCTAGAAACCTCGAGCCTCCTCAACTCCTGTCCTGAGCCATTTTAGAGAGACACCAGCAAGGAAGAACTTCCTGTACTCACGGCAGAGAGTGCCTCCCAAAGAACTGCGGCACTGTCTGACTCCCAGCTCGGGCGGGACACCCCAGGGAAGGAAAGAAAAGGCCTTTCTCGCCCCCATTCAAAGCTGAGCCTAGCCAGACAGAAAAAATGGAGAGCGAGCCAGCTGGTGACAGTGGTTAGAATGGCTGGATCCCACATGGCCAACTGTGCCATCTGAGTCCTGGCTCCAGCAGCTTGAAAACACGCCGGTGCATGAGCGTGTGTGCCTAAGATCCTGAAAGGAGAATGGAAGAGATGGGACTATGGTGAGGCCATCCTCTCTGGGGAGTGATTTCTCACTCTCTCTTTCTCACTCTCCAGAAAGCACATTTTTTATAAATGAAGAGCGTGTTTAGAGGAAGTGGGTAGAATTCAAACATGGCATTTCAAGCAGAGTGGAGAGCCCAGAGCTCACAGAACTAAAGGAGAAAACGTGAAGAATCGGGTGGAGAGAATGAACTGGCAGCAGGGTGCATGACAGCGGGGACCAGCCAACTATGACGCAGCACATGTGTCCTTCAGTAGCTAATCGTCCTCCAGGGCCAGTCATGCAGGGCTGTACATTCTCCTCATGCTGGACCATGACTGGTGTGGCCTCTGAGCGCTGGGCCTTGGTAGCCAACACCAACGGTCCAAGCCCTCCCTGGTCTTCCCCTGGCTGTCCTTGTTCCCTTCTGGCTGGCCCAGAGCCCCAGGGAAGACCTGATGGTGCTGGGATGTACCCCCACTCTGGGCAGCCATGAGCCACCTGCTGAAAGGCCAGTCCTCCGCAGAGGTCAGGTAAGCTGTTGCCGTGCTGGCACCACAGCAGGTAGGCGTCCTTTGGGAAATAAATCTATTCGGCCATCCCAAGAACTTTAAA